AGCCACATGCATGTAACGCATGCCCAAGATACCAGTCAGTGAAGACTAGGGGTGGATCACACTCTTAAGATGTTGCTGGGGTTGGGGACCAGCAGTTAGCGTAATGGCTATGTCCCTGGACTCTCCTGTAGTCGACCGCAGTTTGTGTCCCGGACCCAGTGGCTTAAAACTCATGCAGGTGTGTATGCGTGCATGCCCAAGATCCCAAGAGGAGAATGGCGGAGAAGGGGTTGCAGCATGGCCATCCCCTCGGGGGGGGGGGTGATTTCTTGCTTTCTGTCTCTCTCTCTCTCTCTCTCTCTCTCTCTCTCTCTCTCTCTCTCTCTCTCTCTCTCTCTCTCTCTCTCTCTCTCTCTCTCTGTCTGTCTATCTGGCAAGCACATGTGCCCTATAGCAAAAAGAAAAGAAAAAAAAGAAAGAAGTTGCTGGGGTGGGCTGGCTGGCTGGCTGGCTGTCTCTCTCTGTCTCTCTCTCTCTCTCTGTCTCTCTCTCTCTCTCATGAAATAGATACACATTTTCTTAAATTATTTTTAAGGGAGTCAGCAGGTACATGGTGGTTAGGGCACTAAACACTCACATGGCCGACTGTGGTTCAAGTCCCAGACCTGACGGCTTGAAGATCATGCTGGGTGCGTGTATGTACATTCCCAAAATTCCAGGAGGAGAATGGAGGAGAAGAGACTGTGGCATGGCCATCCCCCAGGAAGGTAATTTCTCATTTTTCCTGTCTGTCTCTCTCTATCTTGCAAGCACATGTGCCCTATTGTAAATGCCTAGCATATATACGTCTGTGTGTGTATATATATATATATGTGTGTGTGTGTGTTTATATATTTATGTATTTTTAAGAAAATATGTACATATCTTTCTTACTTTTTCTATTTTCATATATTGTGTAATAGGTATATATTTCAGCAAAATCTTTTTCAGCAAAATTTTATTTTAAAAATTTATCTAAAATTGCACACTGCCTTTGTTTTGTGAAAAAGGCTTTTTGTTGTTGTTATTGCAAAAGTTCCTGTCTTAAAATGCTCTTATTATGATGCTTTAAAAAAAAATTTAATTGCCACTATCCTTATTTGCACCTTCCCCAATTTCTAGGCAGGCTACCTAAGATTTCAGCCAATACAGCTTCTGGAGGCTACAGATGACAGAGAAGCCACCAAAACCTGGCTGTTTCCAGTGAGTCCAAGGGAACCAGAAGGCTGAAGCATCAAAAACTACCAGTTCAATTCACTAAAAAGAGAGAATGTTTAGATACAGTCATAAAGCAGTTGGCCCAATTATATACATTCTTTCCACCCCTACTTACAAAATCCCTGAAAGGCTAATAACATTGTGTCCATTTTACAGACGAGAAAAATGAATGCATAAAGAGGGGAGGCATCTTACTGAAGGTCATAAGGCAATATGGAGATGCAAGTCTATGTCTACAGTTGCCAAGGATCAGGCTCTTTCACATTATACCACATGATCTTTCTCTCACCTGGAGCACCGTCATTGACAGAACTTTGTCAGACATAGGGAGCCCTCATTAGCACCACTATCTGAATAGACTCACATGTGACCTACTGCTAAAAAAGCCCTTATTCCATGGGTTTCATGAACATAGGCAACCAAGTTCATGCCATATCCACTCAAACCCTAAAAAGGCTAGAGATGGAATTAATTGTAGCTAAAATATGGTATGCATCTATTTATTATCTTAGAACATTATTTCTTTTTTAAAAGAATTATTTTATTTAAATTTACTTATTTATTTATTTATTTAAAATTGACTAGAGAGGTACAAAGAAAGAGAAAGAGGGAAAGTGAGAAAGCTAGCTGCCAGGTCCAGGACTCAAACCATGGTCGGCCATGTGGGAGTCCATTGCCCCCTAACCACCATGCCACCTCCTGGCCCCAGAACACTATTTCCTAAACATCAGATTATTATGCTATGGTTTGTGCCTCTCCAAAATTCAAATGTTGAGCAATTATAAAAAAATTAAAAGGGTGAAGACTTGATCCAATTGTATGTTAAAAGGTGGGGTTTGGGGGTAGGATTGGGGACTTTAGATTAGGATTAAGGTCATTAAGGCTGGGTCCCCCCATCATTAAGCTTTGATGGGTTTATAAGGAGAAAGAATAAGCTCAGAACAGAGAGATTGATAAGCAACTCCACTGACCCTGTGTTGTGATGGGCTCTGCAAGACACCCACCAGATACGGCCTATGGACACTGGACCTCTGAACTGTGAACTGAAGCCTCTGTTGTTATATGTCACCCAGTTTCAGGTATTTCCTCTTAGCAACACAATAGTAAACTAAGAAATGAGTCAAAGACATGAAGGTGGCTAAAGGCTCTTGATGTATCTTTACAAACTTTCCTAATACACTGTATGAGTTAACATGTCCATAAACACATTCTTCAAATACCCATTCAGTGCCTCTTTGCCACACAGGAATGACAATTTTAGAAAACCTGTCAAACCAACAAGAGAAAGAGGGAACAAATGGAAGAGCCCATATCCCAGCTTCTAAAATAGTCATGCATGACATAATCTGAGTATACCTATTCCAAAAAATATATTTTCAAGGTTTTTTCTTTTTTTTTTTTTTTGGCCCATAGGGCACCTCTGCTCACTGAAGAGAGACAGTGACAGGGTAAGTAAGATATCACCCCCCAGAGGGGATGGCCATGCTGTAATCCCTTCTCCTCCATTCTCTCCCCGGTATTTTTGGCACACACACACACATGCACCCAGCATGATTTGCAAGCTGCCAGTCCAGGACTCAAATGGTGATTGACTATGGGGGAGCTCAGCACCTCAACTACCACACTCCCTGCTGGTCACTCCCTATCCAAAAGTTCAACCATAGCAATGCCAAAGTTAGACAGCCAGCCTGATTTAACCCTCTTTTGGGGAAAGGAAAAAGGGACAAGTGGCTATGGTTAAATAATTAGTAACAACTCAGAACAAGCACGAAATCACAGAAGAGAGTTTGAGGTCTTGATTAGATCCCAGGTTCCAAATCCAGACTTCTAGGCAGACCAAAGGGGAGAATGGAGAGTTCTACAGGACATTTATTGAGTCTATTCAGAACCACCGCATGCTTTCATTATAGCCTGAACTAGCCCTTAAAGCAATCATGTGAAGTTGTATATTCACTCCCAGTTTATAGACAGGGGAAGAGAAAGGTTCAAAAAGTCAACAGGTGCTCCCGCTACTAATTGCAAAGTTCAGATTTAAACTCAGACTCACCTATCCCAAATCTCTTCACTGTCTTCTCCTTATGTTTTAGTTTCAGTGCTTTAGTTTCCTATCATTTATTGGTCTTAAAATAAATACATATTTTAGTAAATACAAAAAAGTTCAAAAATTTATTGAAAAAAATAAAGAACTGTCCATAACCTACTCCTCAAAAATAAGAACTGCTAACACTTTGTTTTATTCCCTTTAATTCATTTGTTTCTGTATAATTTAAATAAAATCAGTAACAAATTGCTTGTAAAGGTTTACTTTTTCTTTGTCAGGAAACAGATAAGCTTGCCAGAGAGAGAATGGGGGTGGGGAATTGAGTGCACCCCATAGAGACTAGTCATGTTGTAATCCCTTCTCCTCCATTTCTCTTTCCTTTGGGGATTTTGGGCATGCATGCACATGTCCAGTATGTTTTTCAAGTCACTGGATCTGGGACTCAACCTGCACAGCCACATGAAATATGGTGCCTTTAACCAACAGGCCATGGGCTGGCCCTCATTGACTCATTTTTTTTAACACAGTGTAATACTTTTCACATGATACTCATTATTACTTGGAACTATCATTTTTTATGACTATAGATAATTCTATCAAATGAAAGCCAGATAAATTATGATAACCACTCTCAATTATTGGATGTTTATATTTATTTTTCTTGTTTTTATCTATCCAAAATAGTGCTTTGACTTAAAAAAATCCTTTTATATTACCTTTTATGTGCATCTCTAATTATTTCCTTAAAATAATAAATTCCTAGGGCCAACGGGTGTCATAGTGGTTAAGGCGCTGGACCCTGGGACCAGCAGATGTTATAATGACTAAGGCACTAAACCCTACATGGTCAGCCACAGTTCAAATCCTGGACCAGAAGCTTGAAAATCACACTGGGTGCATTTGCATATATGTCTAAAGTCCCAAGCAGAGAATGGAAAAGAAGGGACTGCAGCGTGGACATCCTCCCTGGGGGATGATTTCTCACTCTCCATCTATCACTCCCCTGTGAGTACAAGTGCCATATGGCGAAAACCTAAGCAAATAAATAAATTCCTGACAATTTATTATTAGTGTAAGTTCCTAAAACTATACACTAAATTGTCCTCCAAAAGAGTGTAGATATTAATACTCTTGATGATCACCTCATCCCCACTATATCATTGTTTAATTGCTGTCAGTATAATTAGAGAAAAATGGTATCTCTACTCTTCTAAAATTTACATTTCAGTAACTACAAGTGAAGCTGATTTTTTCCCAGATTTTTATTTCCTGTAGAAATGTTCTTATATGAACTCTCTATTCCTATCTTTTTTCTCAGTTTCCCATGAAGACACTGATTTTTTGGTTGTTGTTTACTAGTGTTCTTTACATATTAAGGATAGTTGAATTGTGAATCAAACATGTTGTAAATATTCTCCTGGAGTTGTTCTCTTTTTTACTTTTTTGTAATTCTACTTTTACTTATAAACATTCATTGTTGTTCTGTTACTAAATCTATCATTCTTCCCCTTATGGTTTGTTTCTTGGCTTTTATACCCAGAAAGCCCTTGATCTTCCTGAAATCAAATAAATATTTACTTATATTTTCTTAAATTCTTATCTTTTCCATAGCACTGTACAATAACTAAGATATCCTGAAGGTTCAGAAAAAAGTAAAAGTAAACCCATCTGAAAAGACACATTCACTGGCAGATAAATTATGGATGATTCTGCCCCCTTTGTGATCTCAGAGATGACAACTACAGTGTGTGTGCATCAAACATGCTTGGAAAGTTGGGCTAAATCCCTTTATCCCAGGTCTCCAGTCTGGGCCCTCTGGGAACCCTGCTGCTGTGGTACTGATGGGAGTATTATACTTCAGTCCAAAGGTGAATGACTATAAAGGCCAGTAGCTTCTATCCCCAAATATCTAACCAACCTGGTAGTCCCAGAATATCTGCCCTGCATCCAGCCCCACATCTCAGCCAGAGAACCCAGAAAGCACACAGGTATGCCTGGAAGGGTCTTTCTGGGGTTCCAGAAACTGGAGAGCAAGCAAGCAAGCCTGGAGGGGTCTTCCTGAGAGAAAGCAATTAAAATTCACATCACAAAAGGAATGAGGCTTTTTTTATTCTAAGCTGCAAAACGTGGTGTGGTTAATCAGAGCAATTATAAATGGTAACATCATTATTCAAGCTTCTATTTCCAAACGAAGTCATTTAAATGAATACATTTTCTGCCTTGGAGCAGTAGCTGCCAGTGATCCTTTAAAAGAAAAGAAAGGGAAATAAAGAGAAAAGGAAAACAGGAAAAGCCACTGTGTGAAGCCTTGGAGGATGAGCCAGAAAGAACTCAGCACTGGGAATTGGGAGTCGGAAGCCCTCTATATCCAACCCCGTATCGTTTTGTGACCTTGTGCGGAACCTCGATTTCCACCTGTGCAGCCAGGGGAATAAATTCACTTGTATTCATGAGCCCTTTTGGCTCTGACATTGTGGATCTAGAATTTTTACAGCTTATTTTAAGATCTACTTTTTCTATATGCTGCATCTGCGATTTTATAGGATTCATCGATGTGTTAAATACATTCTTCAGTTCAAATAAGACAAATACTTCAGAAGCTGCCAAGCTGCCTCTAAGTAGTGACAGACTTGCCTTGCCAACCTGCAGCCCCCATTGTGTGTGGTCACTATGAATCATGGTGGAAGGAATACATGAGTGTTGGCATCAGGTGATCCTGGGTTCAAATCTCAGTTTTGACTAGACATGGTTTTAACATTCCCCTGGGTTGGAATAACTTCAGACAGGATTCTTCCTGACTCTAGGTCCCTTACCTCCCTTTTCTCTAAGCATTTATTTTAGAAAATTTGTAATGGAAAATTCTTTTCTCTGTCCCTTTGAAATGTACATAAATCTTCTCTTAGCCTCTGACCAGTTTTACAACTTCAGAAATGTCTTTCTCAAGGTTACCTGGGAACCATCTCTTAGAAATCTAGGTATAGGAGGAGATAGCATCTCTCAGTTTCTACAGGAGGGGTAGAAGCCTAACTTCAGTGCCTCATGCCCCAACTTTTTTTTTTTTAATTTCCAGAAGGTGCTTACACTCACCAGAAGGAAATTATATGAGTGAAAGAGAGAGTAAAGGAGAAAGCACTGCTCAGTAAGGTGTGGATATGTGGCAATATTTTCTCCTCCATTTCTGTCTTACCAGAATTTGGGGCATGCACAGCCACCTGATCTTATTTTATTTTTTTCAAACCACTGGGGCCAGGGTTCAAACCGAGGTCGGCCATGTGGGATCTGGCTCCCTTGACCACTAGGCTGTGGGGCTGGCCCATCTCCAACTTTTAAAACTATCTAAAATAAGAAAGTTTACTTTTCTTCGGCTAAAGTCAATTAGTAAACACAGGTGGCTTAAGAATTACAGCTCTTAAAAATTCTCCAGTTCTTTGTTTCAGCAGAACTGATCTCTCTCTACTACAACAATCTTGAAGAGCATCTTCTTTGTCTATTTAAATTAGTCTGGGGAAACTTTCACTGAGTTTCAACTGTGTGAAGACACCTCCTTTAACTGAACTTCTGGGTCTCTATCCATTTAAAGCAAACAACAATCAAAGTCCGTATTTACTTAGGCAGTGAGGCAATAAGATTTTTTTTTTCAAGGAATGTATACAAGTATGTATATAACCAATTGCACAGGATAAGTAGATTCTCTGCAATATCTACTTCTCTGTAACCACACTCTTTGTCATCCCTTCCCACAGTGATTGTGGGCTTGGCCATGTTAACTGTTTTGGCCAATAGGACATCAACAACATACAGAAGCAGAGGTTTAAAAACCTGTTTGAGGTCCCAGACTCAGTGCCACACACTGCTAAGAATCTGTGCTCCACGAGCTAGGACCATATAGGAGGCTTGGGTTCAATTTCTGGTCCAACCTAACAGCCATGCATAATGGCATGTGTCTATAATCCCAGCAGTTTGGGGACAATGAGGCAGGAGGATCGTGAGCTTGAAACTCTCTTGAGACTCTCCCTAAAAAAAAAAACAAAGTGTTCATACACGAGCTTACCCTCTTGTTGCACTTAGAACTCCATGAGCATAAGAAGAATGAACCTGCGCTAGACCACTAGAGGATAGGACCACACATGGAGAACTAAGGCACCCAGAAGACAGCCTGCCAACCACTAGAATGTGAGTCAGGTGCCTCAGATAAAACAGTCCAGCAGAGAGACCAAGCAAGCTGGCCAGAGCAGAAAAATTGCCTGTCTGACTCACACAATTATAAGTGAAATAAAATCACTATTGTTTTTAAGCCATTAAGTTGTGGGATAGTTTGTTACATAGCAAAAACTAACTGATACTATCAGGCACTAAGTATGTGTTCATTTCCTTCTTTTCCCTTTTTCTTCTAGATGGCTTCTCATGGTGCCTAGGAAGGCTGAGCACTAGCAAACAAAGCAGTCACCAACCCAGAGAAGGCAATGCTGTCTGCAAATGATGCTCGATAAATTCTCTCCAACTCCAGGGACAAGGCTGAACTCACAGGAAAAAGCTACTGGCAAGCCGATGTCATGAAGGTCTTAAACTCTTCTGGAGGGAGATGTGGATTTCCTAACAACTTTATACAGCATTACCAATATGTGAGTTCATGGCTTTTGACCCAAACACCTCTGGTGAAGGGGCACTCAGGCTTTTAAGTGCTGAAACATCTTTTCTTTTTTTTCTTTTTCTTTTTCTTTTTTTGAGAGGTTTTTGCTATAGGGCACATGTGCTTGCCAAAAAGACAGAGAGACAGAAAGTGAGAAATCACCCCCCAGGGGTTATGGCCATGCCACAATCCCTTCTCCTTCAGTCTCCTCTTGGGATCTTGGGCACACACATGTGCCCTGTGTGAGTTTAAGCCACCAGGTCCGGGACTCAAACTGCAGTCAACTACATGGGAGTCCAGCAACATAGCCATTATACTAACTGCTGGTCCTGAAACATCTTTTCTGTATTGATTCAGAGATGCTATCCAGAAGTTTGTACTCCTGGACAATTGGAACCCTGGACAGCCAGCACTGGATGATGGTGACACAGAATGACTAAGAAGTCAGCCATCTGTCCTAACAGAGGTCGCAGTGTGCTGTGGGTGGCAGAGCATGGTGGAGTAAACAAACAAGTAACATGTGATAAAGATGATAAAAGTAATAAGCACAGAGCTGGGCAGAGGGCAGCTGAACTAGGAACCATGAGCGCCCACCCAGCAAGGATGGACAGGGAAGGCCTCTCGGAGGAAGTGAGACACCTGAAATAAGGTCAAAGGGAAGGAAGACACCAACCATTCAAAAAATAAATAAAAAAAAAATTTCAGATCAAAAGAACCATGAAATGAGTCAAGAAGTAGTGTTGGGTAAGTCAGAGGTGGCCAGTGTAGATGACTTCCAGTGAGCAAGGGGAAGTGATGGGAGATGAGCCTACAGAAATGACCAGAGTTGGCTCTGCACTGCTCAGCTTCCCCCACATGAACATCCTCTGTCCTTTCTGTCCCCTCTCCCTCCTGCCTCCAGAGGACATGCTCCAGGTTCTCATCACTGCTCTTACTATGGAAGGCCAGGGCTCAGGGCTCTAATGACCAGAGATATTACTATTCTGTGCCAGGTACTGTGTGCATTTACTCACTAACTTCTCATAACCTAGGAGGGAGATACAGTCACCACTTTGCACATGTCTCACAGGGATTAGGTAAGCTCTCCAAGATCACAAGCAAGCCACGGTCAGTTGCCAGGGTCAGGAACTGGCCACCAATCTGCTTACACAGACAGACTCTAGGCTGTCTCTAGTGGCTTCTTGATGTTGTGGCTACTTGATGTCCCAGGGGCTTTCTCCTGTCACTGTTCATTTCAAGCTCACCTGTCCTCTGTATGTGCTGCTGGTCATTTCATGATGTTCAAAAAGGAAGCCCTTAAACGTCTCTTTCTTATGTCTCACTGTTAAATTTAGGCCACTTTGTAGCCTGTCAGAGCCATGCTGGGTGCCAAAATGCCCTCGAATCTCAGGGTTGAAAATAACAATGAAGGCAAGTTCAGAAGGAAGATCCAGTGTTGCCTGGTGATTTTTCTCTGCCAGTCACAGAGTTAAGCTCTCTATTGACATTATCATGCTGTTTAATTCCTTGATCAACCCCAGGAGGTTGAGCAATTTCCAAGGTCACCGAGAACCAAGAGCAGAGCCACACAGGGAGTCCAGGAACCACCAAGCTCTTCTGCCTCCCAACTGAAGTCCCCCAGGATGCCCAGACAACTATCAGAAAGACACTGCCAAGCTGTGCATCTAACATTAGCATGGTAGCTGCTTGCTGGGTGCTGACCTCATCCCGGGATCTGGGATGCCTGTGTCACACTCCCAGGACAAATGCAGTCCTCTGGCTGGTGTGAACCGCACTGCCCATGGCCCACTAGTAGAGGGCAGAGGTTTCTCACTTTGGAGCCATTACTGGCCCTTCCACCTGAGTGTCACATCCCTGTCCAGTTTCTGCCTTTTTTCTCACAGCTGATTTTTTGGTCTCTAAATCTTATTCCATTTTCTCTGTTTAACATGGACAATATTCCCCTGGACACCCTGACCCCACCCCCAGCTTCCCAAACCCCTGGTCTACCTTTCTCCAATAACACCAAGTCATTCTCCCAGTCAGACAATTCCCGTTTGATCTCAGCTCCCAGGGCCACCACACCCATCCAGGCTCTATCTGCAGGACAGCACCAGGTTCACAGACAAGCACATACATGTGAGTAAAGATGAGTGTATTGGGAACCAGCAGTTAGCGTAATGGCTATGTCGCTGGATTCCCACGTAGTCGACCGCGGTTCGTGTCCCGGACCCGGTGGCTTAAAACTCACGCCGGGCGCGTGTGCGTGCGTGCCCAAGATCCCGAGAGGAGAATGGAGGAGAAAGGATTGCGGCGTGACCATCCCCCCTGGGGGGTGATTTCTCTCTTTCTGTCTCTATGTCTCTCTCTGTCTGTCTGGCGAGCGCACGTGCCCTACAGTGAAAATCT